CAGACAGACAGACAGACGGACAGGCACATACAGATCCGCGCCTCTTCGCTGAAGGGCTGGCTTCAGGCCCAGGCTTCGAAGGATGGGACTGGAGATTCGGATTATGTGCACTGCAGCCCCTCCAACAAAAACAAATTAGGTCTTCCCCTACCAGTGCTCCCAGCACAGCATGGCCAAGGACAGGTTGCTGAGAAGAGAAGTGGGTTTAGCGTTTAGGGTTTCTAGGGTCCTTGAGGAATGACTGCAGGCTTTGTATCGGAGATTCTCTAACAATGTCCATCTTAAGGAAGCTGTTTTGCTGCCGCTTTCCATAGGTCCTGCCTGTACTTCGCGAGCAGCAGGTTGCCAGGTTTCTTCGTCAAGCAGTGTCTCTGGCACATCGGAACGGATGAGATGTGTGGAATTGCATGCGGCTGTGTCTTAGCCGTTCAAGTCTCAGCCACCCAGCGGCCTCCGAGAAGCGCAGCTGTGACGACTGAAGCAGAGTCGGAAGCGACACAAATCTCCCACCCGAGCCTCACGAGATGAAGCCAACATGTTGTTCCGTGGTTTGTGAAGCTGAATATCTTCTTTAAAGCCTCAAAACCCGCAATTCGACATCCGGACAGCATGTCTTATGCCCTAAGCCCTAAACTCTTAAAACCCTAAAGGCTCGGTAGAAAACCTTGCTGTGCAGGACATCGAGAAGCGCTTCGAAGATGCTCGCGACTACGAGAAGGCCCCTTTCCCAACCCTATTTAGGGTTTAGGGTTTAGGGTGGTGAACAGGTATATGGCAGGATTTATAGCTTAGGTCTTACAGGTCGGGGTTCTTAAGATAAGGGGCACTTTATTTTGTGAAGGATCCTAGTCTTTGGGATAGTAGGGTCCATGTTGAGCTTGAGGCTCCCATACATCGCGTAGGTCGAAGCCATCAGAAACCAGAAGTTGCCCTCATCTACACTAGACAAGCAATCGTGAAGATTTTTCCTTTGGTCACATCCTATGCCCCGGGGCACTCCCTCGCTCTCTGCAGTAATCTTATGTGTCTTGATGGGGGCCCTTGATTATAAGGACCCTAAGCAACCCCCAAACCCTGTTTGAAGCGTTCGGGCTTATTATGTATCCTGTACAAGTTCGGGTTTTCACTCTCCCATCTCTTTGCACAGCGACATAATCAGTCTGGGTGTTGCAGTTACACGCTTTTGTGTTTAGGGCTCACATTAGAGGGTTTAGGTTTGGGCAAGTTACGGGTGTCAGGCTTCTCTTAGAACTCTCGAGAAGACGTCAT